TGCTCTTCATGTGCCTTAAGAGCCCCCAGCTGAGCCCCTTTGGCCCCCCACAGGCGCTGGGACAGAGGAGCAGAAGGAGGAGCAGTGCCAGCCCAGGGAAGAGCAGAGGGGGATGCTGCAAGGGCCCCAAGAGGAGCCCCAGAGCCCCACGGTGGCCGTGGAGCACGATGGCCAACAGCAGCCCCGTGATACGCAAGGGAGCCGCGGAACGAGGGAACCCCGAAAATGCTCTTTCAAAGGGACGTGTGGTGAAGACCCTCTGGAAGTCACAACCCAACCACGGAGTAGCTCCAGACAGAAGGAGTACAAGTGTGAGCACTGTGGGAAGGTCTTCAGCTGGGGGAGCAACCTGAGCCGTCACCGAAAGATCCACATGGGAGAACATCTTTACAAGTGCTGGCGTTGTGGGAAGAGCTTCGCGCAGAAATCGAACCTCCTGAGTCACCAGAGGACACACACCAAGCAGAAGCGATTTTCTTGCGCCCTATGCGGGAAAGGCTTCTCCTTTCCATCAGAATTCATCAGACACCAACGCACCCACACAATGGAGAGGCTGTTCGCCTTGTCACACTCCGAGATGGCTTTCCGGCAGAGTTACCACCACTACCTCCGGAGGCATCAGTTAGTCTTCCAGAATGGTGAGTCCTTGGTGGGTCTTGAACCTGTATCACGGCGTGCTCAGAGAGAAAATGGAGAGGAGGGGCTTTGGGGGTGGGGGGTGGCCAGCTTTTGGTCAGGATCTGGCTGGGCATCCATCTCCCCATGGGTGGGGGTGAGTGATGGCCTCCTCCAGCTCCCTACCTCTTCTGGCCTCCACATTCAAAACTATTTTTACCTCCACCCGCGGGGTTTCTTCCATTTCTTCTTTCCCCTTCCCAGTTTCACCCACAGTGGGTGGGAGCAGCCAACAGCCCAACCCTGCCCCATCCAGAGAAGACCCGTCTCCATCCCTGACCCTCTCGGGTGGTGGTGGGAGTTTTGGGGGGATGAAGGTGTGGACCAAGGTTGGGTGCTGTTCCAGGGTGAAGAAATGGGTTAGAAGGAAGGTGAGGAAGGAGAATGATGAGTATGAGGAAGAAGGGTCACACACCCACAAACAGAGCCATGGGCACCTGTGAACTTGGACCCACTTGCAGTGATGCACACTCACACACAAACACAAACCCCACACCTTTACGTGCCTGCACACACACACACACACACACACATACAGCCCCTGTTCATTTAAACACTCACTGATACGAGAAGGGCTTCAGGGGCTGCAAGCACCATACTGGGTGGTACTGGTCTGGGTGGGAGCTGCTGGAGGAGGTGGCTGCTCTTCATGTGCCTGAAGAGCCCCCAGCTGAGCCCCTTTGGCCCCCCACAGGCGCTGGGACAGAGGAGCAGAAGGAGGAGCAGTGCCAGCCCAGGGAAGAGCAGAGGGGGATGCTGCAAGGGCCCCAAGAGGAGCCGCAGAGCCCCACGGTGGCCGTGGAGCACGATGGCCAACAGCAGCCCCGTGATACGCAAGGGAGCCGCGGAACGGGGGAACCCCGAAAATGCTCTTTCAAAGGGACGTACGGTGAAGACCGTCAAGAAGGTACAACCCAACCACAGAGTCGCTCCAGAAAGAAGGAGCACAGGTGTGAGCAGTGTGGGAAGGGGTTCACCTGTGGGAGCAACCTGAGCCGTCACCGATGGATCCACACAGGAGAGAAGCCCGACAAGTGCCAGGATTGTGGGAAGAGCTTCAGGGATAGCTGGAAATTCCTTCATCACCAGAGGACACACACCGAGGAGAAGTCGTTTCTCTGCACCACGTGTGGGAAACGCTTTTCCTGTAGCTCGAACCTTCTTGTCCACCATCGCATCCACACAGGAGAGAGACCGTACGCCTGCTCCCACTGTGGGAAGAACTTCCAGCAGAGATGTCACCTCAGGAGGCATAAACAAACGCTTCACAATGGTCAGTCCTGGGGGCTTTAGCATGAGATGTCCCCGGCCCTGGGGGAGCGGTGGGTGGGGATGGCCTGGAAAAGCACGTGGTGGGGCTGTGCTGGGACTCCTGCTCCCAGCGTGGCAGCAGTGCTGGGCTGGTTGGAGGTTGCACTGGAGAGCTCCGAGGAATGGAGCTGACCTGGAAGAAGCTCCTCAGTGCAGGGGGGTTCCGGAGTTGGGGCAAAGGCTTTGTCTTTCTCCTGCAGGCACCGAGCACCCAGGAACCAGGACAAGCACCCCCGGTGCTGGAGGAGGAGTTGGAGAGCAAGGAGGAGCAGACAGCGCCAGGACAAGGGGATGGCGGGAAGAACACCCACCCGGCCACCAGCAAGCCGGTGGCCCGCGCCACGCGGGGGACCTCTAAATGCCCCCAGGGTGGGAAGATCTTCCGCTGAGTAACTGATATGGGAAGTTTAGGGGATGC